ATGTTTCCCTTGAAAGTTACCCCTTTCCTGTTTACTTGGGGGAGCACTGAAAGCTTTTTAGAAATTCTTCCATTTTTCTTGGCATGGGGCTATATAATTCTTGTTTAGATTTTTTTATCATGGCCTCTTTTTCTAAAGATAGATATTTTGGCCACTAAAAAGTAGTTCAATTAAAAAAAAAAAAATCTAAGTGGTTTGTCTAAAGAAGGATCTCGAAACATAATGTTCTTGGTTTTTTAAGTGTCCTGTTTACCCGTCCATAAAAGCTCCATCCCTAGCTCTGTTCTGAAATCATTGAGATTCATGTCTTTTGCAAAGTAAGCAATTTTCAATGTAAATATTTGGATTTAGGCTTTTATTTATAATACTTAGATGCTAGGAAGATCACCCTTTTCAATCAGTGAAAATAAAACCTTCTTAAGAGAGCATTTCAGTCTCTCTCCTCTGACTCAGACATGGAAAGATAAGACGCCCTTAACTGTAGGCATGTAACAGAGGGTGGGTAAACCCCCTTTTTTTCCTTTCTTTTACTGGACTGTAAAATCAAACCAGAATGCAGGGCTTAATCTGTTTTTGAGTTATTACATGCGAAGTTGACCTTGAAAGTACTGAAGTCAAAGTAATTCTGAAAGTAAAAATCACTGGGTTTTTTTTAATAATCTTAGGACATTTTTATGACAGTTGGTTAACTGTGGTTATAAAGCATAAAAGCCCCCCCCCATCGTTCCAATTTAGAAATGTGCAGTTTTTACAGTCAAAGGAAAAATATTTGTAAACAGATACTAATTCTCTGCAGAAGTCATCATTTCAAATGGATTAACTGTTTCCAGAACTTTTTTTATTAAAATTTGTATACACCCCAGAGAAGTACCACTGTAGACTGGAGACAAAGCGGTGCCCACGAGGACAGAGGGACGGTGAGCTCTGCAGGCCCCCAGTCCGTGGATGTATGCTCCTATTGCTTGTCCTATTGCTGGTGTTGCCTTGTTGTATCTGCTCATAGTCCCCATCGAAGTGAGCTGGTTGTCTCAACGAATGTTGGAATATTAAAAGAAAGTCTCTTAATCGTATCCATTTTACTTATAGCTATCTGTTTAAGGTTGTTTATTCATATAAGATAGGGTGATGCTTGTAACACTAGTAACGGAGCTCTTGCTAGCCTTCATCCCCTGTGTTTATTTGCAGTAACTGTATGATTTACTGCAAAACTTTCCCCACATCTCTCAAGTGTTTACTGACGGATGAGCTCAGTTGCGATGTCCCAGCTCATAATTCACAAGTCACGGCATAATTCAGGAAAGAAATTCCTGTTCTCAACATACAGCCCTCTTGCAGCGATAGGACGTCAAATCATTTCAGACGTTGGCGATCTCTATAACAAAGGTCAATGAAGTTGGTTAAAGAACGTTAGAAGCTATAGCTTAAAAAAGACTCGCTGCTGTGAGTTAGCATCACAGAGTAGCAACCTCTGCTGCGGAACTGCTGCTCAACAGGATGGCTCTGTGGATGCAAAATGGGATGAGTGTTTACTCATTGCCATTTCTTTCCTGTCCTGCAGAAAAATCGTTCGCCCTAAATGAATCATAACCCGCCTACCATTTAGTTTGGCTTGCCTTGAACTAAATGTTTCCTCTTTCCCATGATTTTTTCTATTTTTTGAAGCAGCCCCCCCATCTGTATGCCAGCTCAGGCCTTGATAAGTGTTAGCATCTGGAGCAGGTGAGGTACTGGTTAAACACACAAGGCCCGAACCTGCTTGCTTGGGAAGGCTGTTGAAACTCAGTGAAGTTAAAAAGGATATTAAAACCACAAGGAGATGGAGGTTTTCTCTGCACTTTTATTTGGGTTGCTGGCTTGCATCTGTGATTAAGATAATTAAGAGAAGCTGGGTGGTGCAACTGCAGGTTGGGATCTGGAGGAACAGTGGTTTCCTGAATGAGAGCTTTAAACCTAACGTGCCCCCCCACCCCAATCCTAGTGTTCCCTACTAAGTATATCTCAGCTAAAACTTCCATGTCAGCCAAGACATCACCAAACAGTTGGAAAAGCTAAGCAAGAGGTAGTGGTTTGAACCATGATGTGAAGAAGGCACCATCTGTACAAACACAGCCCTACCCTGGAGATCTAAAACCTGCTGCAAAAGGAGTGTGGTAAGTGCCCACGTGCGGTATTGGCCTCAACTGCAGGCCCGTGGCAAGGAAAGATGGTTAAACCATGATGCTTTCCCCATTCCCCATGGGCAGAGTGCTCATGGGCATGTGTGGGCCAAAAGTGCAGGTCGTGTTGTTCAAAAGAGGCAAGTCTCTTCCAATAACTCTGTACTCATCAAGGCGGCTGTTGCCATGAGCTTCTTCATTAGCCAAAGTTGAGTCAAATCACATAGACCTGGGCCTCATACCTGGATTTTGAATCCTGATGGTTAATTTAATTATTTATGGTAAGTTGTGGGGGAAAAAAAAAAAGTCTTATTTTCCTGTAATATTTCTGCATCGCTGCAGAGAGCGCCAGTCTCAGGAAAACGTGATTTCTCTCATGGAAGAAGTCAGCATCGTTAGTTAAGATTTAATGGCACTTGAAACAGCAGGAGATTAGGCTTCCAAATTTGCAGCATAGGCTATTTTGGGCAGGGATTGGTATAATCCTGCTTGGTAAAGGATGCCTCAGTGTGCTGCACAGGGAGCATAAGGTACAGGCTGATCTCACCAGCAAAGGTTGAATACTGCTCGCGCCCACAATGCGTGGTCTTGAATAATAAATAGGTTTCCTTCCCAGGGTAAGGACACAGAGATTTTCAGTCTTGGCATCAGTCGGACTGCAAGGAATTGATTGTTTTGTTTTTAATGCTTTGCTAAGACGCATGTCAGAGTGGTTACCTGACCTGTGCTGATAAACCGAGGGGGAGGCAGATCCACAAGGACCTGAGTGTAGCTGCTCTTCTGGACCAGTCTGCCATCTGCAGGCCACTGCTCTCCATGCCAGAGAGGTGTAAAGCAGGGCTTTGGGACTTTCTTTCCTTCTCCAGAAATTAGTATTTGTAATAAGGTTTTTTTCCCTAGGTAAATATTACATAATAAATGCAGTTTGTTTCTGTTTGATCCTATGAATTGTCACCTCGGTTCTGAAAAAAAAAGCAAGGATGGTACAGATAAGCAAGCCTCTTCAGCTGCTCTCTAAAGGTTAATGCATAATTGCTTTTTCTTTTATTGTCCGTTGTTCAATTTTACACGTAGACGGTTTTGTGCTTGGAAATGGGACATTTCAGATGACAGTCAAGTTCTGTCCGTCATTTTTAGTCCATTAAATCTTTAGTAACTCTCCATGGACCACTGGTGGTCTTAGATGAACGGTACCACTATAACGTTCAACTCCTGTGAAATGTTAAAAGCTTTGCTGAGAGGGGGATATGTGTATACGACAACCAGGTAGCTTTCCAAGCATCCCAAA